TCAAGACCTTATTTAAAAGGAACCAAACTCTTTCCACTCAAACCAATAGGTCATTGGTTACACTTCTTTTGTTTATGAAGCACCGAATGAAATATAATTTTTAAAATATTTTAAATTTTAGATAAACCTATATGGCCAAAACAAAAGAAAAAAGTCAACCTAGGGCTAAAGTATCCATTTATCAATCCCATCTTGAAGTGCTTATGTGAAAATCTGTTAGAGATTAAGGTCCTTTTGACAAAACTTCGTGACACTTTGGCTTTTAACTTTTAAATTTTTTATTATTTTAAAATATATAAAATATTAATTAAAATAAATATAAAATATATTTATAAAATATATTTTACATATTCTTAAAATGTTAAAGGACAAAAAGCTTATTTTTACATGTCAAACTAAGCTTACAATATACAAATTGATATTGGATTAAATTCAAAAGATTAGAATCATTACTAAGCAAATGTAAGTTTGTAGGTTAAGTTAAAAATTTAAATCTTAAGACTAGTACTCAAAAACATTAATTTTTATGAATGTGTAAAATCAATGTGGGAGTATGCCCTTTAGACTGTCCAAAAATAAATTCATCCCAAAAACAATTATTATTTTTTTATGTGCTTTTGGTGTTGACAACAGCGTGTAGGTGTTGGCATGTCTATTTCTCCCACGCGAGTCTGTTTTATTAAGTGCTTAACGCATGGTGCTGATGCCATGAAATATGTGTCAACACCATACCCGTGTTGGCAATATTGTCAAAATCTAGATTTAAATCGTAAAATCTTACGATTTTCAGCAAGGTATTTCATATAAAATCTATACCAAAATCGAAAATTCATAAAATCGGGGGTTAAAAATGTAAATTTGAGATTTTACTGTGAAATCGGGTAAAATCCCAATTTTACCTCCATTTGGCAGCTGGGCTTTTTGCCTATTTCCTTTTGGGCTTCTCATCTTGGGTTAGTGGATTTTGACCAAACAACCCATAAATTAAACTCATTTTTCATTTTAAAAGCCCACAACCCACAAACCAACCACAAATCAAGATTTTAATCGGGACAAATTTGATCTAACCATCTAAAATTCTAAATCTAAGTCATCTTCTTTAGTCTTCACTTAGGGTTCGCCGCAAGGGAGGGAGAGATTGGATTGGACTGCTGCTGCTCATAATTGCCGCTGCCGCTGCCCACTACCTACCGCTGCTCACTGCCACTGCCATTGTTGCTGCTCACTGCTCAGTCATTTGCTGCTGCTCATTACTTAGGGCTTGCTGGAGTTGCTGCTGTGTTGTTGGAGTTGCTGCTATGCAGCTCACTGCTCAGAAACTTCTCGGAGTTGCTTATTGCCTGCCACTGCCCATTGCCTGTCGTTGCTCACTGCTTGCCGCTGCTCACTTCCTGCCGCTGCTCACTACTCAGTCATTTGCTGCTGCTCACTGCTCAGGGGGCTTGCTGGAGTTGCTGCTGCTCATTACTCAGGCGTTGCTGGAGTTGCTGCTGTGTTGCTGACTGCTAAGCAGCTTCTCGGAGTTGCTTGGATATTTAGATTTATATTAAATTAATTAATTTATTTGTGTTATTGGATATTTAGATTTTAATTAGTTAATTTTAAGTTTCTAACTCTAAATTTGATTTATTGTTGTTTAATTTTGAGTTTATATAATTTATTATATATTATATATTAAATTTT